ACACACACACACACACACACACACACACACACACACACACACACACACACACACACTATGTAAACATGCAGCTGATGTCAGAAATGTTTGTCCACTTAAAAAATATTTAAAAAATATACAAACCAAGCTAATTAGACATTTTTATACTCCTGTTTTCATCACTCCTGTTAGTTAAATCACCACACTGACATTAAGAGCTGATTATTTTAGAGACTTTWTTTGTATAAAATATCAAATCTAAAACTACTCAAAGAGTACAGAACAAAATATTTACAATATTTATCAGCTTCTTAGTTTCTGGAAACTTAAAATCTGACTCCTGATGTATAAAAAACTCAAAAAATGAAYATCTGACTTTTACACAAATATCAGTGAACTGAGGTTTTAATTTAACTTTAATGAAATGAGGGACCTCCTACTTACAGTACCACTGATCTGAGCTACAGAAATTGTTTGTTTGTTTGTTTGTTTGTTTGTTTGTTTGTTTGTTTGTTTGTTTGTTTGTTTGTTTGTTTGTTTGTTTGTTTGTTTGTTTGACACAAGTCGCAGTCACGAACAATTGCTCAAAGCAAACACTTTGGAGCCATTAGGCTAATGGAATGACCACACTGACAAAGACTGCTCCAAAGTGCAGCAGCAGGTAGACCTGAACCACAGGGCAGCAGCAAGTAGACCTGAACCAAGTAGACCTGAACCACAGGGCAGCAGCAGGTAGACCTGAACCACATGGCAGCAGCAGGTAGACCTGAACCACATGGCAGCAGCAGGTAGACCTGAACCAAGTAGACCTGAACCACAGGGCAGCAGCAGGTAGACCTGAACCAAAGGGCAGCAGCAGGTAGACCTGAACCACAGGGCAGCAGCAGGTAGACCTGAACCAAAGGGCAGTAGCAGGTAGACCTGAACCAAAGGGCAGCAGCAGGTAGACCAGAACCACAGGGCAGCAGCAGGCTTGATGGACAGCTCTGCTCTAAAAAAGGTGATGTTGTGATGGGTAAGGATGATATTTTTATGACCATTTTGTCACAGCAGGATTGYTTTCTGYYTCGATATCCAGACTTTTTCTTTTTCCAATTCTCTCAGTCTTCCTTTGTTGCAACATTTAATGATTTTCCTCCACGGCTTTGGATGGTACATTATATTATTTCTTTTGTGTCTGTTCAGTTCAGGTATTTCAACACTTCGAGYTTTTCTCACATTTATCTGTTCTCATCATTATTTTTTTTTACACTCATTTAGGATTTACACCCCAGAAATGTGACTATTAAAAACAGAAAGTATATTAAACCTGCWATATTTGATGTTTTCAAGCTAACGGAGTTAGATGTTCAACCTATAATTAAAGACAAAGTAAAACCAAATTACCAAATTACTACCAAWTTTCCCTCTGGGATCAACCAAGTATTTTTGAATTTGAATTTTGAATTGAAATTAAAGCACTAATTCACTTAACTCTAAGGTTCTAATGCAAAAATTACTCCATAAAGACATCATTTAGTGAGCCTGGTGAAACAGCAAATAACATTGAAATCCAAGTTTTCCTGTCTTGGGAAATCTTTGTCTAATCCTGGTCCTCGAGGKTCATTATTCTGCATGTTTWACTGTTTCTCTKCTCCAACACATCTGATTCAGTGATTGAATTACCTGTTCAAGTTCTGCAGAAGCCTGTTAATCACCCATTCAATCATAACAGGTGATGGAGCAGAGAAACTTCTAAAACAGGCAGGATAGTGTCCCTTGAGGACCAGGATTGAACTGTTCTTGACCAATAAAATCAAGTCTTCACATTGGCACTCTCACAGACAAAACCAGTGTGTTGTCAGGCCAGGTGATAAATTGCAAGAATTCAACAAATTGTGTATCATTTTGAAGCTTCTGAGATGAAAAATTTTGAGAATTTGCATCTCTGAAAATGCAGCGTGAACGCTTAATGAATAGAATAGAATAGAATAGAATAGAATAGAATAGAATAGAATAGAATAGAATAGAATAGAATAGAATAGAAATAGCCTTTATTGTCTCGCCGAGGGGAAATTCAGGTGTTACAGCAGCATCCATACAGACTAAATTAACACTAACTAGCAAAGATACAACTACTAATAATAAAAAATATAATATTAAGAATTATGCAAGAATTAATAAAAAAAGATATGTTTAGTTTTAGAGACAGCAGACTATCAGAATCTGACATTACGAATCAGAAATTGCCTATTTTCAGTGCAAAACAATCTCAAGACTATTAACTAATGCGAAAGAGTTGTGCAGAAAAAAAGAAAAGATGTATAAAAATTTGGCAAATTGTTGTAAAATTGTAAAAAAAAAAGAAGCTTAAAATAGTAAAAAGTAGCTAAAAGTTACCTGAAAAGTGGAGCCTAGCACAAAGAATCTGAAATTATTACGAAGGGTTAATCCAGTTGAAAAAGAAATTATTTGTTGATAATAGCTCAAAAGTAGCATAAATTGCAGAAAGCAACTAAATGAATCATAACAAGCTTAAATTAGCAGAAAGAAGCTGCACAAAAAAATTCTATTAGCAGAATAGCTGAAAAGAGCAGAAAGATAACTAAAAAAGCAGAAACAAGCTAGAAGAAGTTGAAAATAGCACAGAGAAGTTAAATAAAGCAGAACCAGAACAGTGCAGGAAAGGCTGGAATATTTTGAAGGATTTTAAGGTGAAGTTCTCRGTTTACCGGTCAGTCTACGTTCCTACCTTCATCTATGGTCACAAGCTCTGGGTAGTGACTGAAAGAACGAGATCATGGAYACAAGYGGCYGAAATGAGTTTCCTCCGCAGGGTGGCTGGRCTCTCCCTTAGAGATAGGGTGAGAAGCTCGGTCATCCGGGAGGGACTCAGAGTAGAGCCGCTGCTCCTCCACGTCGAGAGGAGCAGTTGAGGTGGCTCGGGCATCTGGTTAGGATGCTTCCTGGACGCCTCCCAATAATAATTCAGTGTGGCAAAATTCCTCATTGTGACTCATTTTGCCAACACGRGTCACATACTGTATATGACAACAGCGTAATTTAACTCTGCAAATACCCCTCCCCCCCCCAATGAATACCACACCAACCAGGTCACCACTTTGAAAACTTTCTGGAGGAGCCAGTGCCTCTTAGATCCACTGCACCATCAGAATCTTCACATTTTGCTGCTCTGTGACTCACAAGCACAAACATCAACACCACAACCCACATCTCGCTTATTGCTCCTCAATCGCAGTTTTCCTCGCCAGGGACRTCCTCCTTCGCCCAGCATCATGATTCAGTTACAGATTAGCACGCTCCGAGGTGGGAGAGGTGTTTGGGGGTCTTGTTTAGTTCTTGCTGCAATGGGTGTGCGTGTGTACGCGTGTGTGTGTGTGTGTGACATCGTCCGAGCTGAGGTCAGAGGTCAGGTGGTGATGCAACGCCTTTGTGCTTCTCCTCGCAGACAGCTGCTGTCCATCCTGCCCGAGCGCTCTGAAGCATAGATCAGAGCAGCTGAAGGGATTGCTTTCTTTTCTCACACAAGCACATGTTTACTCACAAACACGCTGACGCGTGTGGCGTTTCACTCTGCGCAGAGACAGAAGGGCTCATGGACCTGGAATGCTGCGACATTACCAGCAGTGTTTATTTTGCTGCTTCGCCGTGTTCGATACGCTCATTGTTGTTCCCCTCGAACAAGCTGACCTCCTGACCTCTGCCCCGCGCTAAGCACCTGCCAACCCACTTTACAGGAGAGGTCAGAGGTCAGCGCCCGGTCACACTCCCAGATGGAGCTCCTACAGAAGCAGGGACATCACCTGTTAGACATACAATGCAACATCACTGTCCTGTAAGAGCACATTTTCTCCTCAGAGGAACACACACACACACACACACACACACACACACACACACACACACACACACACACACACACACACCACTCTCTTTATTCATCTTTTATTGATTTTCCTT